GGCAAAATGCAGACACTTAAAGGAACACTGACTGGAGGAATCATTAAAAGTTTTTGTTTTGTTTATGTTGCCACAATGATTACACGATCCACACTAGAAAGTACCCACAGGTTTCGGGAAAAATGTGGGTCTCGGAGCTGGAAGGTAGTTTTACTTGTACAAATCTTGAAAAACTGAAATCAAGAACATTTTCCCAAATCAAGAGATATTTCCTTTTCTTTAATCTTGTTTTTGTTTGTGTTGAATTAAAATAATTAAGTAAGTAAGTAAGCTTTATTTATATACCGCCTTTCACAGACCAGAGTCACAAAGCGGTTTACAATTGTTATTTTTTGGGCATTTGTCTCTCACTCCACACAGAGATGGGAGCGGGGTCGCCGAACAGGAGGCGCATGCCAGTTGCAGTCTCTGTGATTTGCTGAATGCGACCACGGAGATGTGATTGGATTGCCATGAATCGTACAGCTCTGTTCATACTCAGCAGATTCCACTCTGGATGATCACTTCCTGGATTGTAAATGATGACATCACTTTAGATCAGATTAATGCCATATTATCAACCTACGAGCTGTGAGCGCTGAAGCCAACCCTGGATTATGGGCTGAACATGAGTTGAATTCATGTTGTTTTTCTAGCCGTAGGTGCAGTATCTGGGGCTGGGATGGATTGGAAGGAAATCTACCATTGGTTTGAAGACATTTCTGATTAGTCACAAAGAACTTAAGCTTAAAGTTATGTTTACAGATGCAAATTGTGACTTCAGAGAAAAAGGTAATGAAAAATATTTATTGATATTGAACTTTACATTTCAAGGCAAACCTCAAAGTGCTGAAAAAGGTGCTAAAACAAGTGAACAATGACGCACAAAAAATACAAAACTAAAAACAAGCAGAAGAAAAGTCTTGAAAACACACTTTGAAATGAGTCAAATAATCCTGGTCCATCAAGTAAACAAACTAAACTAGTGAAAACAAAAATCAAAATCCTGAATTAAGGTCATTAAAAATATAATCTGTAATGCATTTTGGACTGGGTAGAAAAGGGAAGAGATATTTCTGCAGATTGTCTTTGCAACAAAAAATCCCAGCAAAAACTTGTTCTAATCTCTGAATGCACAAAGCGCTTTCACGTCTGATCCTCTGACCTTCATGTGACCAGTATCTCCAGGACCGTCTCGCCACAAGCCCACAGAGCTAACCACTGCCCCACTGTGTCACAGGTGTGAAAGTTTACCACACATACTGTACGACTGCCCACCGCACCAAAAGTTCAGGATGTGAGCAAACATAACAGTCGGACCAAACATAGTCTAGTCTTTAACTTTTCAGACCAGGACCCCCAAAAACCCCAGACCAGGACCCCCCCAAAGACCCCCACTGTAGAAGCAGCAATAACAGCAGTGTCAAAACAGCAGTAAATCACATGTACTCTTAGTGGTCTGATAAAGTCATTGCAATTAGACTTTTGTTTCCAGAATCTTCTTGACTGTGACACATAGGCACTGATAACTGATGCAATCCACCTGCTGGAGTTTAGCTAGAAACAACACAAATTCTTTATTACATTCGAGTACTTATTTTTGCATCTGTTACTATAAAAAAGAAAATTGAGGTTCTATTTTTGTTATTAAAAAAAAAAGCCAAGACCTGCAACAAACTGGTAACACGAGTGAGAGCCTCATTCTGCTCTGTGATTGGACAATCCGCTTAAGCATCTTAAACATACTTTTTATGGATCATGCCCAATGTATTTTGAATCAAGATCAGCTCCACTGTAAAATAGACGTTTGTGCAGAACAGGACACATACAAGAAATGGAAATATTACAAAGCACAGTGTTGAATCATATCTAGTGAAATGTTGTTAAAAATTGAGGAACAAACTGTGTGAAATATTGGATTTTCCTTCAAGGCTTAAATTTATTACAGAGACATTATTTTAGAATAATATGGCAACCCTCCAACCCGCACTTTGGCAAAACACTGCTCTAAACCACGACTAAACATGGACAAAAAAATCAAAAGCTTTTCCAAGACACTACGAGCAACAAGATCAGTCTAGGAGCAGTTAAAACACTCCCATATTCTATACCTGCTCCTTATTTTGCTAAAATCAGAGGTTTTCGTACTTAAGTTTTGCTTCTTCATCATATAAAAGATAGAGATTTTAGACTTCTTCCTTATTACGCTAAAGATAGAGATTTTATACTGCTTTGTTTCGTGCTAGAGTTAGAGATATTGTTCATTTCTTGTGCTGTGTCCTCATTCCTACTGTCTGTAACTTTTGATGCAACACTGAAATTTCCCCACTGTGGGTCAAATAAAGGATCTCTTAATCTTATTTCACCAAAATCTCCGGTCAAAGAGAGCGAGAGAAGTAGAAACATCGTAATCTTGTTCATGTCAGAATGTACACACAAGAAACACATCCTCAAAACGCCGGAATTCATACAGTAAATAAAACAGCAGGTCCTCAAAATGCACTTTTCATTTGGGAGTTGAGCATCTGAGCAGAAGTGAATGAATTATGTATCGCCGATGTACGTAATGGGATTATAGGGGCAAATACTTGTCATCCGCCTACGTCTAAATAATTCAGAGCGGTAAAGAACAGGCCAAGACCCCGGGTTTTGGCCATTCGTGTGAAAATACTGTAAACCACATTCACAGGTTCAGTTTGACTACAGTTTAGGGCTGCAAGGTTTTAGCTAAATATCACAAATGCAATATTTCTGACAAGTTTGATATCCTGTTCTGACAAGTTTGATATCCTGTATGGTTGAAAAGTAGTGTTGTTCTTCTGAGTAAAACTAATTACTTTATTAAAATAAGTTAATGGAAAGAGCGTATTTATATTTATATATCGCTGGCACTACTTTTCAGAATTTCAAATATACAGTAAGAATAGAACCAAATATTTTCGCCATATTATTCGGGCTTATAGTGAAGAGTTATAGTAAAGAAACCACTTCAGAAATATTAATATTTCAGAGTATACTGTAAAAACAATCAAAGTATTGGTCTATTATAGATTAAATTTGTTTATATAAAAAAATGTCTTGTTTCATCCTTTCTTATAAACAAATTTGAATTTTTGTATATTTATTTCTTGTATAGAGACAGAGCGGATCCAAGTTTGGTCTAGTCAAATCTAAGACTTTTAAAAGACTAAAATACTATTCAGGTCAAAGGAAGGAGAAGGAAGGCGTTGACTGAAACGTTTTTTTTTTGCTTTGCTACAACACCATTTGATAACACCCAGTTTAAAATTCATGATTTCAGATGCCAAGCGGCCAGTGCCTCTTTAATTCGTGGCATTGGATAAAAAACATTTGGAGACCCCTGAGTGCGGGCTTTTTCAACAACTTTAAAGCAGAACATAATTTTGAAATTCTACACGGAAACTCACAATTAGCCCAGCATACATGAATATGCTATTAACACATAATAAACACAGCAATACTTTATACTCTATACACTATTACTATCTATTGACTTTTGACCTAAGCAGACATGAGGAGAACATGCAAACTCTACTTAGAAAGACCCTGTTCAGACTTTCTTGCTGAGAGTGCTAACTCAGCCACCGTGACATTTTTCTCCAACTACAGTAATGGCTCCATCCTTCATCATTTTTATAACAGAACAGAGGAGATCACATGTGGCTCGGTTTATACACTGTCTCCATTATTACTCAAGTTAAGTCGCCCTTTGCTTAGAACAATGACAGGTCTATAGCCAGATTCCCCCAAATATTCTACTTTTCCATATATATTTTTCCTTTAGCGAACAACACAATACATTTGAGCTGTAATTTTGAGTTATTGTCGATTATCAAATGTAAGTAAAGATAGAGATAAGCTCCTCAAAGGTAAAAACTTAGAATTGAAACATATTATCAATTAACAATCAGTTCCCTATTGATATGATAAATGACACTTTTTTATGATTCGTTATAAGTCTGTATTTGTAGCTTTCTTCTTTCTGTTCCATGCAATACTTTTGTTACTATTTCCCCAATACATTCTGGTTCTGAATTGTTAATCGGTTTGACAACAGTCCTCATTTTCCATCCACGCATTGGTCTCATTCTCTGCCCATTGCCCACCCTTTGAAAACAATACCTCTACACAGACACACAGACACAGTATCTTCACGACTATCCAACATGAACACAGCAAAACAACATCCATCCGTACGAGGTACACGGACCCAGCGTGTGTGGCATCAATAACTACTCACAGTATTGCAGTATTCAGTGTGTGTGCGTGCCCGTGTGTGTGTGTATTCGCAGTATAACCAGGCCTCAGGGTGGTATGGGCTCCACTCACGAACTGCTGGCATGGCTTTCCATTCAAAGCAAGGACGCATTACGCACGACTATTGTCACAACTGGCTCCCTGCATGACTGGCCCCATCCTAGGCCTGTATATATACACACACAGAGAGAGAGAGAAACACGCACACACACGCACACACACACATGCACACAGACAGACAGTACTGATGGATAGATGGAGTGGTGGCCTTTAACACTCTCCGCATCCAGCCCCTACCCGATAAGATGGATGACTGCACTCCCAATCGCTTTGCCTCACACCCGGGTTCGCTCCACGCAGCCAAATCCACGCCATTCCAACAAGACACAGCGTTCTATTGTATGTGTTTGTTTTGCGTCGAATCTCAACCATATTCCCCCTTCTGCTGGAGACGCATTCACCCGTCGCTGCTGCTGCTGCAACAACACGAAAGGCCGCTACAATCACTGCAAAAACAGCTCGACTCTATTGCAGACTCGCCTCATTGCAAAGAGACGTTTTCAGGGGAGTTAACAAAGGTTTCTAAAACGCGAGTTGAACGCGAATATAAGAAAAAAGCGACGTACAATGCGTTGTGTGTGTATGTTTGTGTGTGTTTGTGTGGATAGAAGGGGTATGGAGCAGAGCGGACGAGGCGGCGCATCCATGCCACACAACAGCGCGTCTGGCCGGGATAGACTTACCGCTGCTGACTCAGATTAATCCATCGGAGTGTGCAGTGGGGTGTCGTGTCGCTTCCCCCGGTGCTGCTTGAGGCTCCTCGGTGAAGGTTTTGGGAGCGGAGGGGCCAGCAGTCCACACGGTGAGCTGCTGCTGTTGCTGCTGTCTCGACTGTGCGTAAAAGGCGATGGGGGTGCCAAGCCAGCAGCAGGCAGTGCGTGCAGCTTCCGGTGACCTTTTCTTCCACATGAGCCAGTTTTTTTGTGTCAAAGTCACTCAGACACGCGCTCTGGCTCTAGAGAATGACGGGGAGTGGAGCTGCAAGCCAGACAAAGAAAAAGTTGCGTTATTTAGAGGGCTGAAGAACGTCTGGGTATAGAAGACATATTGCTGCTGTTATGAAGCAGTTCCAGCTACTTATCTCAGTATAATTTTGTGTGTGCATACAACATACAGGACATTGAAATTTTCTTGGCTGTGCAAAATAATCGTATTCTCACAGAGCTAAATACGACACACGTTTTAGTCCGAAAATCCCATGTCAGCACTCTGTTGTGATGTCAAATATACACTACCGTTCAAAAGTTTGGGGTCACGTTGAAATGTCCTTATTTTTGAAGGAAAAGCTGTAGATAACTTTAAACTAGTCTTAACTGTAAAGAAATGCACTCTATACATTGCTTATGTGGTAAATGACTATTCTAGCTGCATATGTCTGGTTTTTGGTGCAATGTTGAAATTGCTGCAAATGGAGGATTCTTTTCATTTCATTTCATTTCATTTTATTGAGAGCCCCATTAGCTCCTGACTTATTGCCGGGGCTATTCTACCTGGGGTCTCCTTCATTTTCATTACAAATGTTTACAACATAACAAAACAAACAAAACCACAACACACACATATACACACAAACCAACCGTGGGAGCTCAATGTGAAACCGAACAAAACATGTCGCTAGCCACACAGCACAACCGCCCGACTCATCTTTGCCCGTAAAACATGTAAAAGACATTTTATAGGAAACACATTGTTTTTCCTCATTACCATTTCAACAATACAAAATGACCTAAACAATTATGCCATACGGCCAACGATATCACATAAAACCAAAAATAGATAAGTAGAATCGACCTAAAACAGCAATAACAGCATTTTTACCATTTCCATTTAACAAAGTAAAACGAATAATCCATTACCTAAACAAAAGTAAAACATTTACAGTAATCAAAACATTTGAAGTTTTGTATGAAACATAAATCTCAACCTAACAACTCGACTGCCCACGGATCCCATTACAGCACCAGCTTGGAACTTGCCTATCACATGGTTAGTTACCGTATTAATCCAACATCATTCTTGTGTAAACAAAAACACCTTTAGTTTATTTTTAAAACATATTTTGCTGTTTTCTAACAACAAAAATCCTGGTAAAGAATTCCAGGCAACCACGGCTCTGTAACAAACAGTTCGCTGCATCTGATTAGTTTTACAACAGGGTAGAGCACACCTTGTTGCACTGGTCTGACGTGTTCCATAACTATGATTATCTGAGAAAAATGACAATTTATTATGTATGACTTTAGGTATTTTTGTCATAATAATGTTCCTAATAAATGTTATTAGGAAATACTTTGACAAAAGAAAAGTTGGATGTAAAACAAATCTTATTTAAAATACAAATCATTATTTCTAACCTTGTCAATGTCTTCGTGGAAAACACTTGGGTGACCCCAAACTTTTGAACGGTAGTGTAGATCAGGCTTGAGTGAGCAGCATTACAAAGGAAATATGAAGAAGTGGCTAAAAATGTAGCGTTCAGAATAGAAGTAACATCCACTTCCTCCAGAGCCCAGTCACGGAGATCAGAGATGCTCAGACCTTCACCCTAACCCTGCAGCCTCTTTGCACTCTCTACAAAACAACTAAATAAAGGCAATACACAACATTTCTGGTGAAACACTATTCCACATTGCAGGTCTTTGGAATCAGGCAAGTCTACTTCGAGCTTTACAATACAAACAAAACATATATTCAAGCAAAGCCCATATGGTCTTATATTTCCAGATAAGTCCAACACATCATAGGCAAAATGGTCTCAATTCAGCTTTTAACCATGTTTCAACATAGTTCCCTCATTAAACATAGCTGCTTGCTTGCAGGTTATGTGGAACAATTATAATATTCCTAAATAATATGCTAAAGAAAACAGAAAAAACTATGATACTCTTTATAACTGCATGTCTTCAATAAGACCATTCCTCTAGATCAGTGGTTCCCAAAGTGGGGGTCCCGACCCCCCGGGGGGTCGCGGGAACCCCTGGGGGGGTCGCAAGATGATTTCCACACAAACAAAAAAAAAAGTTGTTTTTTTTTTGAGCAAATATAAAGCCCTTAAATATTTATTTAGCATTTGATTTGATTCAAAAGGACTACTTGTTAAATTGTGTTTGGAGACTATAATATATTTTAATAACGTTAGTAATTTTGTCCCAGTCATTGCAGCGTCAATCAAAATCATCACGTAACACAGCTCACATCATGCGCAGCGACAAAGCGTGTCCTGCTGTTGTTTGCTAAAACTAAAGGTGTTTGGAGGCTACAAATAAATAATACCTGCTTTAAAATGAAACGTGGTTAATATCCACAACAGAAAAACCCGGAGGGGGAGAAAAGTCACTTGTATCAGGGGTCAGGCTGATGGTGCGAAGAGAGGGAGAGAGGGCAAAGGAGGGAGAGAGGGCAGCGGAGGGAGGGAGGGCAGCGGAGGGAGGGAGGGCAGCGGCGGGAGGAGGACAGCGGTAGAACAGCGCGTTAAAGAGGCCCGGCTTTTCGGAGTCAAAGGTAAAGAGGTCCGCACATTAAAAGCGGGTGGCCGGTTTATGCCTTTACTGACAGTAACTTTGGAAAGAGAAGCCGCGGGGATGAACCGCATAAAGTAACAGCAGAAAGCGGCCGCCCGCTTTTAATGTGCAGACCTCTTTACCGCTGACTCCGGAAAGCCGGCCCACTTTACCGCGGTAGGAGAACAGTGAGGGCGAGCCGCAAGAAATGCGCTCCACTTCTGCTGAGGAGGGAGCCCACCAAGCCCATCACTGTGTCACTACATGAGTAAAAATATGCAAGCCTCCTTTTTTGGGCTGGACAGTGCAGCTCGGTAGTGGCGTGAGTCTCTAGAAAGCGTTACTCCGTATCAAGGAAATACATGCTCATTGCATGTGACGGAAGGGGGGGGGGGGGGGGGGGGGGTCGCGGGTTAGCAGGGCATTTATGATGGGGGTCGCGGGCTAAAAACTTTGGGAACCCCTGCTCTAGATGGTAGTTCTATAGTCCTCTCATACTTTATACGTTTATCAAAGCTTATGTATTATCGTTGTAACAGATTCCTTTCTATTCCCAAACATGAAATATGATGTAAATATACTAAAGATCATGTTTAAGGGCCAACATGAACACAAATGATTCTCATGGTATGTCTTCTTTAAATCCACTGCAAAATGTCTGCCCCGAATGAACCCCAAACGTGTCTCGCCTCATGTGACCTCACAGTCCCCCGTACCTCCCCCCGCCTCCCACGTACCTCCCCTGCTCAGCCTCAGCGCGTCCTCTTACTTACATTACTCTGAAAGGTCTCCGCCGTCGCCACTTCCGTCGCGCACGCCGCCTTCACGCTGTTGTGATCGCGGATAGCTGATGCAGATGCTCGACGGACCGGAGGCTTTTTGAGCGACATCGCCTGCAGCCAATCAGCACTCAGTAGTGTCGGTAAGCCCCGCCTTCTCGCTCACTGGTTGGCTGTGAAGCATAGATGTGGTTATATTTTGTGGTGATCCCCGGTCTGCGCTTTCCAGACGCCACTGTTGTTATTACAAGTGAGTGCGCGCGTTCTGCCGTTACGTCGTGCGCCTGGAGTATTTGCATGGACGTACACTGACGGCTCTGTTGCAGGTGAAGGGGCAGTTGGTGGTTTCCCTTCTGCGCCTGGGGCCTGCTCATTACCACAGATCACCTGCTGCTCCTGTCTTTGCTCGGCTCTGCTCACAGCAACAATGCGCTATTCAGAATCAAGTGCTGTTTGAAAAGCTTAAAGAGAAGGGAACCCAAAGAGAGTGCAAGAAAAAAGTCTATAAAGGACCCAAGAAGAAGTTTGGGGCCATTTTATAAGATAAGGAAACCTTTAATCGTCCCACAGTGGGAAAATTTCAGTGTTGCAGCGCGCATACATGGAGGAGGGAGATGGTCCACTCCACTCCGATATATATATATATATATATAATATATATATATATATATATATATATATATATATATATATATATATATATATATATATATATATATTTATATATATATTTATAACTTATTTATACACTCTTGGTCCGTTTTTTTTTCCAAACTTGTAATTTGAACACATTGTTTGTCATTTATTCAGACATTTTCGATAATTATTTTCAATGTTGACCTGTAAAATTAAACCCAATCTTTTGGAATATTCTCTATGGAGGGACATGCATGAACAAGCATGACACCATCGACTGTGTTTCCCAAATATATGTGCTCCTTGGTCAGTCATGCCGATTGGACATGATTGTGAAATGGGGAACTTTTGCTTTTTCAAGATACAAATATGCAGTAAAAGTTCTGGGTTTGACAATTGCCTTTGGGTATGCAGCAGCAGGCTTCAGGGCCAACTACAAAAAATAAGAAAATATAAGATTCCAGTAAATAAAAGTTTCCAAACTTGTGTTATCCTCTAACACTTTAATAACTCAGTTCCAGTGATTAAATATGTTTGTATTGACCGCAGGCCTCTGCCCTCGACGAGTCCTCTGTATCTGTTCCTAAATATGTGGCTCTTTACTTTTGACTATTTACATTGTTTCCTAAAGTGTTCAAGGTTGTTGTTTCTTCTACAAACAAGTTACTGTTAGTTTTGCTGTGTGTTACATTTTGATTAAAATCAATACATTTGGTTTCCCATCAGGGTCAGGACCAGAAGTTGGTTCAATGAAATGTACTGTTAATGAATCTATCATTAAATTACTTCTTAAGTTGTGGATATTTCGAATAAGGTAGATCTCACCTGGAATCCTCATATACCTTTCACATATTAGTCCACAATCGTAAACAGTGAAGGAGTCTCTCAGCTCTCAGAGGGAGCGTGAGGTGAGATTGGCAGACGGATCCGTGCGGCGTCTACAGTTATGCGGTCTCTGAATCGGACTGTTGCGGTGAAGAGGGAGCAGCGTCTGCAGTCAAAGCTCAGTCCACATCCCTACCTTCACCTATATGGTCATGAACTTTGGTTCATGACCGAAAGAACAAGGTCGCGGTCACTATGAGTTTTCTCTGCAGAATAGCTGAGCAGCTCGTTTAGAGATAGAGAGAGGAGCTCAGTCACATGCAAGGAGCTTGGAATAGAGTCGCTGCTTCTCCATGTCAAGAAGAGCCAGTTGAGGTGGCTCGGGCATCTGTGTATAGGAAGTCTCCTGGACGTCTGGGAGCAAAATTTGGACGTCCCTGCTAAGACAGCTGCCCCTGTGACCCAGCACTGGATAAACTGGAAGAAAATAAATGGCACGCTTGTTTAACTTCTCTGAACACACACGTTTGACTGATAGCAGCACTATTTACTATAATAATATATTTGTATTTGATGCAAGTTTGTGCAGTTCCAGACAGGAAACACCTGGACTTATACAATACCTTGCAAAAGGATTCAAACAATGAACTTATCCAGTTTGTTACGACCAGAGATATACAGTACATATTTTTGCAGGGCAATGTATTCTGCTTCTCCATGGGCTGGTGGAAATACTAATATGGATAGTGTCCCCCGATGGAACCTACAATCATCCACATAATCCCATTCGCAAACTGCAAATGCACTGTCAGACCTTTGATGAGGTGTTGCTTTAGTAAAAAGTTAATTATTACTGATCTGTTGACCGAGCATGTTTCCGGTCGGTGCTAGATCTATAGCCTGTCTCCCTCTCTCACTTTTTCCCACTGCGTTATTGAGTTGTTATGACGCAGAAGAGTCTAAGGACAGTGATGATCCAGGACAGTCATGGACATTTATCAACATTTATGGACATGGTCATCCTGCTCCCTTTGGACCAACGGCTTCTATGTGTTTGTTATTATTGCATTCACTGTGCTCGAACTATTTGTTTATTTTTCTATTGTCAGCGAATCAACGCATCTGTAAAGTCCTTTGAGACGACTATCGTGATTTAGGGCTATATACGAATACATTGACAAATTGAACTGAATACAATTAAAAAATACCACACAACATGCACAATTGAAACCAGACTGACAGCACGGCTATGTATTGGAATGACTAATAATACTTTTCATTTAGCAAGGACTCTCCGCCATTGTGAGCTGGGTACGTTTATATTTAAATGATCCCAAATAAGGGGGGGCGCGTCTTAATGAGTTGCGTTCAGGGTCATGTAGTTGAGGTGGCGTCTGTTGCTTTGTCTCATCGCTCACATATTCACAGCAGCGACGGGACAATTACAGCTTTGCATGTCATCAGGATTCTGGCCCAGTTACACCCACGCCACAGAAGCACGCGCAACTGTTTACCTCATGTTCAGCCATGCATGGAGGATGTATGTGGTCACCGAGAGAGAGAGGAGAGAGAGAGGAGAGAGAAAGAGAGAGGAGAGAGAGAGTGTTGACAAGCAGTCTCTTTATGTGTAAGAATGTGATGTCACTGTAAACATGACTAGTTCATTTGAAAAAACAGATAATCCAATCCACTTTATCCACTTTCCTAAGTGCTGCACGGATAAAAGTAACACATATAAATATACAGGTTTGCCAGCTTTATACGTTTAACAAAATAGAATGAAAAAATATACAAGTGAAAATGCAATCAAAACAATAAAATAAAGGCTATTAGAATCATATTTCAAAGGCTTACAATTTAATCCTTTTCCTAGTAGTTTTTTTAGTTTCATACAAGTGAAGTTTTACCCCAGTAACAAAAGACTCTTCACATGTGTCATTATTCTTTCACTCCATACATGGTGGTGATAAACTACTACTGTAGCCACAGCTGCCCCGGGGCACACTGACAGAAGCGAGGCAACCAGTGTGTGCCATCGGCCCCTCCGATCACATCAACTCTTCACAAACACACCAGACTCATTTTAAGCAATGTGGGTGAAGTGTTTTGCCTAAGGACACAACAGTTTAGCACTTTACAGCCGCAACCGCCCCACTGTGGCACCTGGTGTTCCTAGAGGTCTCCCATCACAGGCCTGCCCTGCAAAGCTTCAGAGACAGGATGGCTTTTGCATGCAAGATGGTAACTACAGGAATGTAAATGAAAAAAAGTGACACGACAGGTAAAATACTACTTTATAATTAATGCACATATTAAAAGTATGTCTTTATTCAAATTAAGCACCCGCTTTTAATGTGCGGTTGCGGGGGAGCAGTGCATTTATCATGGGGGTTGCGGGCTAAAAACTTTGGGAACCCCCGGTTTAATCAATGGAGACACTGATCACATTCAAAATACACAGTGTCGTTCCCATCAACTGAAGGAATATGGCGCGTTAGCGCCACCTCCTTTGCGTGGTGCGGCGAGGGCCGTTCAACGACCCTTGCGGCTTTAATTTGTTCTGCTTCTTAGCTCAGATTGGGTTCAGGTGGGAGGACATCTCACAAAAAAGTCAAACATTAAAAAATTATAAAAAATAGAATGTCAAACCTGCTTGAATCCATTTGATTATTTTCTGAAATTAAGCAGTTTTATTTTATTTTTCATCATAGCTACAGTTAGGTTTCTGCAGATGTTTTTGCCACAGTATTTGACATGTTTCATACGTTTTCCAGAACATTCCGTCACATTATGCACATAAGCTTCAATAATCACAGCAGGATGTAAACCTCGTCTCTCAACTGGCTCTTATCACAAACGCTGACTGTCCTCTCCGGGAGCCATCTTGGATCGGTCACCATGGCGACGGAGGCCGAGGGTCAATGAATTGAATGAATGCTTGGGAGAGATGGAGTCAGCAGAGGAGCAAGTCAAAACTGAGCGTCTTTATGTGGGGCTGTCAGCTGCACAAGTCCAACACAAGAGGCTTTGTGGAGACGGGACACGCAGCGGAAAGTACTTCGCAACTATCAGGTATTTTTAGTTTACTCTGTTTCATGGTCGCTTTGAGGAATGGGTGTCTATATCTGTTGTGTGCCAATCAATTAAATGTATGTATCATTCATCATTCATACAAAAGTCCTTTACAAAGACTTTGCATGGACACCAATGACAATGTGCTCAAGTATCCAATAAAACCATGTGCAATAAATAAAAACAAACGGGCCTTATGTAATATTCATATCATTTATTTGTCCTCAGAATATTGGTCAAATCCTGTTTGGACTTTTCTGAATAAAGTGGAGATGTTTAATCAAAATTACACTGGACATGATGTTCACAATATTTATGTTTAGATTATCCAATCAGAGAGCAGAATGACACTCTCATTTGAGTTGCCAGTTTTTTTTAGCTGGTTTTATCTTATTTTGTTTGTATAAACCAAAAAAAACCCCGCCACACATTTGTTTAAATGAGAGTAAATACAGAGTTTGTACCATTTCTTACTAAACCCCAGCAGGTTGTTGGCATTACTTCAAGTTCTTTGAAGCTACATGTGTCACAGTGAAGATTCTAACAACACGTGTGATTGTGTGAAGTACTTCTTACTTTATGAGACCACTAAGAGTACACACTACATATGGTCGAAAGATAGGAGCCAATGATTTGCCTGATCATAGGCGGAAGATTAGAAAATTTCTAAGAACATGACAACAGTTGTGGTCTGATTTGTTCTCATATTATAATGTTTATAAGACTCTTTCTGTTGGGAAAACTACATGTCTTATTTATGAGGAAACAAGTGAGGTACTAACTTTAGCTTTAAAGAAAAGGTGAAGAACAAGCAATAACAATTCAATATAGCAGATACTCTTGTGGACTGGTCTCCCCTGGCCACACCTGGGAGGCACCATGTGGCCTCGGTCCTCGTTCTACAGCCTGAGTCCTGGATCTACAGCCTGTCTGTCTGTGGGAGTGGATCCCTTCCTTACTGTGGGCCTCCCCGAGGTTTCTCACTTTTCCCAGTGGGTTTTTGATTCGTTCTTTGCCGATGCAGGAGGGTCCAAGGACAGTGGTGATCTGGGACATTCATGGACATTTATGGTCATTCCTCCTCTATGGACCAATGCCTCTTTGTGTTTGATATTGTTACATTTGAAATGTTTTATTCTCTGATCTGTGTTGGGCGAATCGACAACTTTGTAAAGTCCTCAAAGGTAACGACTTATTTATTTAGTGCTTTACAAAAATCCATTTTCTTGAAATTAAGTGAATGAATTTCAAAGCAACACACTCTTTTATAAAGAACACTTTGAGCCTGGACCAGATCTCACATTTTCAAGAAGACTGTTCTCGATTGTACAGATGCATGAATCAAAACGCTCTTCATTCTTCTATCTCATTGTATCAACTGGACAGAAATGTACAATAAAAAGAGGTAGAAGTTGCCTCTTTAAATAATGACATAATGATAAAATAGACTGCGAGGAAGATATTAGGTTTGGAATACGAAGTTAATTGAACCGGTTTCTCATTATGGTTTGGATCAAAATGTAAAAAAGTAAAATAAAGCTTATGTTTTAGTGGTCGCGTAAAACTGCCAAATAATACATTTATGAACTGTTGAGATCTTAAATTGCTCTGTTAGAGATTATTTTCCATTCTATAACCAGGAAACAAAATGTCTGATTTATCTGCTGTGGTGATGTATCTTCACAAGGCCACAGACTGGACACAGTGTGAGACGCCTCCAGAACATTTTGAACTGTCTGCTGACGACAGAATGTGTCTCATACTTCGGCCAAATATGAAAAAGAATAGGTACTAATTATCTGTGCGGCTAAAGCCTGCTTCGAGCAGCGTACAAGTTTAAAATCAAATAAAAAAATACAATTACTTCTTAAATCGATGTGTTACAGTGAAATGAATCCTCCAGACCACAATAGTATCTTTGGAATGTTCCAGGTGTCTTTCTTCATACATTCTCAAGTTTTTTCATACAAACAACCGGATGGTAATCTAAAAGATGGCGTCGTCATATTTTTCAATACAGGCTATTTCCTGCGGCTGGCGCACTGCGTGACTCTAATCAACTCCTTCCTAAGAAACTGCTGCTATTCAGTCAGCTCTTGAGGTTTTTATATCTGTGATGCAAACTATAATATATTCGGATTATTTTTGTACAGCCCTATATCACAGCAGAAGTTGTCTTGGAGGACTTTATAAAGTTGTTGATTTGTCAACAATAGATCAGTTCAAACACAGAAATGTAATAATTACAAACACATATGAGCTGTTGGTCCAAAGGGAGTGGGATGACCTATGTCCAGGAATGTTAATAAATCTCCTTAAATGACCCGGATCACCACCGTCCTTAGACCCTCCAACATCGGCAAAGAACGACTAAAAAACCCAGTGGGACTACATTATCTACAAAGATTTGGATTCCTGAGTGAATCATAAATCTATTCAGTTCATTTTTTTCTTCTACAGCCCTAAATCACAAAAGTGTTGAATTCGTCAACGCAGATCAGAGAATCAACAGTTCAAACACAAGAAATGCAATGATAAAAACACAACAGTCATTGGTCTATAAGGGACATTGTCCATAAATGTTGATAAATGTTCCTGTGTCCTGGATCATTACCACTGTACTTTTTGCTAGACCCTTACCCTCCTGAATAGGCAAGGAACATCTCTAAAATCCAATGGGAAAAGTTGAGAAACCTCAGGTAGGTCCACATTTGAGAGAAGGATCCATTTCCACGGACGGAAGGGTTATAGATCCAGGACTCAGGGTATCTAAATCTAACTAAATCAAGACAAAACTGGGATTTAAAAACTACAAAATATGGTACCATATCAGTTGAAAAAGCAATTGTCCTGCGATCAAAGGTCACACCTGATCACACGTTTCCTGCCTCATCCAGAGCAGTGAGAATGTGTGTGAATGGGGAGGGGCCGACATAGTGCTTTCAGTGCCTCGTAGCACTAAACGCTAAATGAGACCAATTCAATCAAAGCTACAGTATGTAACTGTCTGCTGTAAGTGACCTGCATGAATGAAAGTTACATGTCTGTGTGTATGGTTCACGTGAAAGACACAGTTTCTCCCACCGCTAAAAACATATCACGAATGTGCTGACCGGACGGTGGGAATCCAATGGTCCGGCAGCCTGTCCCAGGGCAGCTGTGGCAACAACAGTGACTTCACCCCCAACAGTGGAAATTGCTATGTAAGGATGACCCTCTTTCTTGACTCCTCGTTGCTGGTTTCCGTGGAGATACTGTAAACTTCCACAGGATGTATATGAATCATGCAGGTGACATGCACCACCTCCTAAAGAGTTCCACAGTGTTGCTTTAGCTTTAGCCAGTCCCAGGCCTAAAGTGACATTCTGGGGCTAAATTTGAATAATACCAAGTACCACTGATTGAGAAGCAGTACTGTGCGGGACCGTGGGGGGCTGATTAACGTTGGATTGACACCAGGGAAGTAGATGTCGTGTTTACAGTCGGATGCAGAGCCAGAGCCTTAAAAATAACCCTGTCATTTATAATTGAGTTGGTGACGTGAGCAGCGGCCTCATGGTGGCACGGGCAGCCATTACCCCCACTGACTTGAAGAGGATGCCCGCGTGAAGATGGTGGAGAGACGCCACACTTTTCACAACCAAACCACACACACACACAAACACACACACAACATCGCACCCCACCACAACACGCTGCGCACCCAAAGTCCATGCCAAAAAAATCTCCCATCCGAACCCAACCCCGGACCACTCAAACTCCCCCAGTACGTGCGTGCGCGTGCGTGTGGAGTCTAGATTGTGGAGCCATGTTGTTGTTCCTCTCTCCCATTGTCCGCCACCCCCCTCGCGCGCACCCTGCACCTCCCCTCCCCACCCCCCATACGCCGGCTTCAACCAAACGCGACGCGATTGGTGGACGACCCCTGCGTATGACGTCACAACCCCCCTCGCCCATTCATCAGCGGACCTGGGCGTTGTACTCCGCATCTCATTTGCAGCGGGGGCCAATTTCTCCATTTACAAACTCGGGCTCGAGGAAAGGGAAAAAAAAAGGCTACAAATTTCGCCACTTTTGGACGCGATTTCTGCCGTTACGCACACGTCTGCTCCGCCGTGTTTTAAACTTACACTTTCCCCCCCCCCACGCACGCTCGCTGAAATCTGTGCGCGGAAAGCTTTGCGCTCTTTGTTCATTCATTCGATCGGTTTAGCTTTTCCTTTGTTGGAGAGAAGCAACAGCAGCAGCAGCAGCATGGGGGCACAGGCTTCGAAAGGTGCAGCAAAAGATGAAGCTGCCTCTGCGGTAGTGGAGAAGCCCGGGGAGGCAGCCGTGGTCGCAGCCAAAGCCAATGGACAGGTAAAACATTGGGAAAAGGGGAAGACGTGTGTGTGGGGTAGAGTTTGGGGGGCGAATGCGTTCCACGGTACAATGGGCACGCCGGCTCAAGCGAAAGTGCACATGGTTTCACTATCAATCACACGGCGTGCAGGTTTGCGAGCAGATTGTGAATGAAAGAATTGATGTCTGTTTGGTTTAATGAGTGACTTTTTCTGTTGATAATGGTCCGTGTGACCTGTTGTGTTGGCTCAGGCCCAACAATCAAGACCGAGGTGTTTAATTGTCTGCACGTTTGGGCTGCCTGTAGCTCGAGCACATTCTGGCTACACGTGTGCGTAATGGTGGATACGTGGATGAACGGGTGGATGGATGGACTGTGTGTGGGGATGGGGATTTGCAGTCTTGGATGCGGCGTGCAGCGGCTCCATCACGCACTCTTGAGCACAGGCATGGCCATTTTAAAAAAGCGCACCACGCCTTTGTTGTCAGACTGAGGCAAGGATCACGTTTGGGGCACGCATCCTTCACGCGGCGTCTCCCAAAAGCACGTGTAGACGCAGATGGGTTTGAACAGTTCACACAAAATAAAAATTTACATCGTTGAAGGTTTGAAATTTGTTGATGAAAATAAGTCAAATTGGGAGTGTTTGGTGGCCGCGGTGGGAGCGCCCTCTAGCGGGAGCAGACGGCTGAGTGTCGTCACTGTCCTAGTAACAGATGTTACTGCAGTTTCGGCCTTTTTCCTATTGGCTGCCCACCCCAGGCCCGCAAGCGCTCTGCCAATATGACCAAAGCGTGTTTCAGGGTGGTAATCAAATGTCATGGTGACTGTATTTAAAGACTTAAAGCGCTACATCAGTTTAAGATGGAGGCACAATTTCCAACAAGTTGATGGAAATTAAGCAGTAATGCAATTTGTGCCACGTTTTAAATGTGAGTTTTTATCATTGCATTTACCCTCTAGTGTAAGGTCGTCTGATAAATGGGCAGAGTACAGCTTTTGGCTTTTTCAGTGGGGTTTAGATTTGTACTCTTTTGCCAGTGACCATGGCAAATTGCGTTAAAATAATCTCACTTTCAATCTAAGCCGTTTTATGTTGTGCACAATATAGTTCCAAATGGGATTATGGACATGTGGCAGCATACATTTTTAGAATGCAAGACAATCCTACAGTCCTTCAATGGCACTAGTTTCGTCATACAAAGATCTAACTCATCTGTGTCTATCCTGCTCTTTTAACCGCAGCATTAACAGTCTACAATAACCTTCAGAGCGACTGTCATGGTTTGGAGACTAGATGAGTGCATCATTGATCCTCAAAACCTCCAATAAAAGAATCTAAAAGGGTTCAGTGGATTTCGGCAACAGATAATAAGCCTTAAAACGTATCATTCTGTCAATAAGGAAACTGAATACCTTCAAATATGCTATATAAATCATTTTCCAGTATGACACGGAAAATCAGTAATAATCTTGGCAAGTAATAATCAAAGTTTACGTACATTTTTTTAAGAAAATCTAAAGACATTTTGAGTTAAAAACAATTAACGAACATTACTGCCTTTTGGGCCTCTGGACTCTGCAGCAGTCACTGAATGTGCCTGAAATCTCCATAAAGGCAAAGCATTCTCACAATCCTGGATAAAAGTCCTTCCAATCATCTGAAAAAACTCAAACATTTTGACGTTTGAAGAACACGCGCTCTCTGGATGTTCAAGGATGGTTTGGTTTATTGAAAGTTGATTTAAACTTTGCACTTTATACCAGCGAGAATTTGTGGTTGCAATGAAAAATATAATTAGGATTTTGTAATAATTTTAGACCAGATTTTCTAAAGGTGCATATGATTTACCCGTGGCTCGGTTTGAACATCCAATCGTAAAGCAAAAGGCAACACTAACCTTTTTGCTCCGTCTGCGCAGGAGAACGGACACGCCAAAACCAACGGAGACGCCTCCCCCACCGCCGAGGCCAAGGACGTGCAGGCCAATGGCAGCACCCCCACTGAGGAGGCCCCCAAGGAGAACGGGGAGAAGGCCGACGGTGCGGAAGGGGATGAGGTCACCAAGGAGCCAGCCGCCGCCAACGGGGACGGGGCCAAGCCGGAGGAAGGGGCCGCGAGCACCAGCGACGACAAGCAGAAGAAGAAACGCTTCTCCTTCAAGAAACCCTCCTTCAAGCTGAGCGGCTTCTCCTTCAAGAAAACCAAGAAGGAGTCCGAGGTGAGCGCGGGGGTAGGGCAGTTCCACATGTGTTCAAATTCAAAGAACAGATATAACAATCATTACAATAAATAAGCCTTCAATCCTAGACCTACACTAGAGCTGGGAACCACAATGCACTAGGTCACCAACCGTAAACACATATGGATATTAATCTATGCTAAAAGAGCACCAAATCTACATACTAATTAGAGAAAGTTAACATTCTAAATACAATTACATAAACAGGCCAACATTAGAAATTTCTTCCAGAAACTGATTTTCTCTTAAATATATCTGACTCAATATAAAAAACATTGCTAAATATGATAATGAACTGAGAACTTTGTGGACACAAGTGTATTTTTTTAATTCAAATACGGATTGTCCAAAAAAGCATTTATATAATCAATACCTTGGGTGCCTAAGGTGACAACCCTGCACAAAAGCTCTAGCACAGATTTAGCTAACATCTGTTGAAACAGTGGCTACACATTTGGAGGAAAGGGCAGTAGTTGGGGTATTGCCCGCTGCGTATCAGCACATTCTATAGTATCACAATGTGTCATCGTTAATTGAAGTAGTTTTACCTGAAATGTTGCTGCAGTCGCTCCTCATGTTCAGCACATGTAGCTCTGCGCTAGTGGGATGGCGAGCTCACTGTTAGCGTTAGCATCTGTACCTCAGGTTTGGAAGTCGCTCCAATTATACTTCTGGCATTTGTTTTAACCTCACACAGTTGTAAACCCGTACAAACATGGTGGAAATCTTAACGGGGAAGGTGTCTATAAGCAAAAATCTATTAAAATTTATTTTTACTGCATTTTAAAAAAAGAATATATATTCTAAAAATGGAGTGATTGGAGATGCTAACCAGTGCAGCCTACAGTTTTCCCTAGAAATTGTATGTGAAACAAGGTTGAACCCTGAAAGTTGGTAAGAGATGGAGGACCACTAACAATATTTACTGAAATAAATATAAATACAAATACAAGAGAAAGGGCAAACATTTGTGGGAAAGAATCCTGCATTCTGAACCACACGTAGTAATTCTGCTACTTTTCCACAAATTCATAAACAGTCATTTGATATTTTACCCTTTTAAGATGCAAAGAACTGCAATTTAACAAGTATTTGGTCGCAAAGTAACTAGCAAGGATCAAGCTAGCTCCTGTTCACTGAGCAATTCATGATGAGCTTATCTGAAAACGTCTATGTAATAACTCTTATCGATCCTTTCAGTCTGAGGAAACCGCAGAGGAGGGCGCCACCGCTGCCACCGCCGAGGGGGAGAAGCCCGCCGAGGAGGCCCCAGCAGAGGAGAGCAAACCTGCCGAAGAGCCCGCCGCAGAGCCCCAGGCCGAGGAACCCAAAGCAGAGGAGGCGAAGGCCGAGGAGCCAGCACCCGCCGAGAAGACCCCCGAGCCCACCCCAGCCGAGACGGAGACGGCAGCCAGCCCAGAGACCCCGGCCACGGCCACCGAGTAACCACCCACCAACCACCACTACCACCACCTGGATGAAGGAAAATGAGCCGCTGAAGGAAAGGAGGAAAGAATGGAAGGACTTGTCGAAAACCAGGGACTTTTTTTGTTTGTTTTTGTTGTTCCTGCAAAAGGCGAACGTCTTAATGTTTTTAGAATGGCTCGAATCGGTGCGCATTTATGTTTTGGCTTAAAGTAATGACTCCTAACCTTTTAATGAGAAGCACCTTCTAGATATGTGGCAGTTTTTCCCGTTAACAAACCAATGCGACACGGTCTAAGCTTGATAAGAATCCAAACCGTTCTCACACTACATGTACAGGTCCACTAATCGACCAATCAAACTGGTTTTTATTCTCCAGGGGAATAATAATAGCTACTTGTTTACATTGCTACATCTATCTGGCTGTGATTTTTCTTGAAGGGTAAAAACAGTTCATTGGAAAATGCATTATTCAACTGGCCAATATTCACTACGTCTCTTTTGAGCTGCTTTCTCTTGATTTAAAGGGCAACATGTATGGATATTTAGACTCTAGAAATCCAATGCCAAAACCTGAAAACGCCACTGATTTTATCTAGATCTTGTGCCAACGTCTCCAAACTGACAACGTTTTGCAAATTCGAGCCATTCTAAGCTGGCGCCGACGTAAGTTTTTCGCAGTTTTTTGGTGTTTGTTTACTGTCGTCTCATCTTGGGAGCGAATGGGAGAATGGGAGTCTATGAATGAGTGTGCGTGTGTATGTATGTATGTGTGTGTGGATGGATTTTTTTTCTACATAAAACCATGATTGTGTGACACGTTGCTGAAATTAACATATTTAATCCAAGTATTCGGTGCTGGCCAATTGGATGTAGCAACAGAAGCTGTGCATGCAACGTCGAGGCACATGATAAAGGGAACAGCTGAATCCGGAGAGATGGCGGAGGAAAAGGAAAAAAAACGTCTTTATTATTAAGTGTTGTCTTATTTTGCAGCGCACAGCCGTTTACAACTCCTGTGAACACGACTATAATGAACAAGCGTAGATTTAGTCCAATTGATTTAAAAAGGAAAACTAAATAAAAATTGTATGTAGGTGCTCGTCTCCATTTAGAATCCACCACTGTAGTAAGTAATGCACGCTGTATAGACTTTGATATAACTGGTTTTATGGCTGAGATGTACCTAAAATGACGTTTTTAAGATGACCCATTGTAAATGAAGTTTTCTTGTTTTTCACCATTTGTAAGATTGAATAAAATTGGGAGATGTTTTAAGCAAACCCTGGATGAAAATGTGCTGACTGCAGTTTTGTAGTATTGGATGTTTTGGGAAAGTTCTGGAGAAGAGATTACACTTTCATTGAAGCACAATTGTGACTGTCGATCTCACATCCTACTTCCACATTATAACAATTGGTGATGGGAAAAGGTTTATTTTCAAGCTGGGGTACCTAACTTCAAACCAAAAACTGTATTCTTTTTTCAAGGGGAAATCTTTCTAGATCAGGGGTCTCCAACCTTTTCGATTGACGATACTTTTCTAAAACAGAAATGGCGAAGCTATACCATTTAGCATTCGTAATACCATTGTAGTTTTCGTAATACCATTGTAGTTTATTTAATAAATGCGGTCAATCATGAACAAAACTAGTTATACTGAACAGTGTCTCTGCATTTATGAAAAGATTTAGTTAATGACTCAATCATTCAGGTTCATGTGTTACATTCTTGAATCTTTGGGGAGTTACCTGAAAAGGGGGATGGTGAGCTACTGGTAGCTCTTGAGCCCACTAGTTTTCACATGTTTATTTTTTTGACCCCCCCATCACGTCTTTAGATCAGTGTTTTTAATACGGAAGAGTGAAAGACACTTAGTCTCCACCCGAAGAGTCATATTTATCTTTATTGAGGACACGATACAACACGGTCCATAGTTAAAAATAAAATATCCAATACACACAGTATATTGCACATTGAAAAAATATATACAGGAAAACAAAAGAGAACATTACAGCTGCTGTACAGTATAAAGACATGACCTCCAGTAAGTCCATAATTTGTCTTAACAATGACGTCGAGTTCCTCAGACAACACATGAATATGAACTGAACGTTATGAAGAGATGCAGAACAGGAGCGGACACCACAGTAGGCAAACATCTCACTCTCACTTCTGTGCCGGGGAACCTTCAGCAGCAGCCTCAAGGAGTACAAAATAGTGACTCGCCGGGCTCTTACAAGGATCCATTTGATTACAGAAGGAATTGTGCGCTCTACAGGTTTGCAAACTAGTATTTGCAATCATTGGTGAAGGACTATTATATGGACAGTGGTGCTAAATTCTGTAGTCATCTCTTCAAAGAAACTGATGACTTTTACTTTGTCTAAATCAAAACAACATGCACCTTTCAAGCATTTCGTCTTTCTTTTGTCATTACATTTTGTTTCATTGTCAAATCTCTTTTTTTGGTTGTGTGCAATATTTTTTTGCACCTCCAACATTTAAGAAAACTGACCAGAGTATTTGCATCATGCTGATAGAATCACTTTGCACCAACATTCCGATCTTTTACCAGATACAGGCCCTATACCTAAACATGTATGAATAAAAATGAAAAAAATGTGGCGAAAACCGTTTTGCTCATGAGTTTCAGCAGATCAAAATAAGCTACATATTGTATTGTCAATGTAATATATACTAAGCCCCTCCCACTATGCACACATTTGCATACACTTAACCTACTTATGCATTAGCAGATATGACCTTAAAACCCCAATTGTAGAAGTAATCCCACCACAATAAATAGACTGTATACGATTGTTAAAAAATAAATAAAAAAGGCACTTCAGATTCCACTTTAACATGTGCAAACGCGTGGGCACTAGGCTTGCTTCAAACAAATCACATGAACGCACAATTTGCATCCTTAGATTTGTCAAACAATGTCACAGGTTTCTAGATGTTCTCGTATGTTTTGAAAGGACGGAGAGAAGCATAAGCACCAGTCCCGTCCCGTATGTGCTGGAGGGTAATGGCGGTGGATGCTGATGGTGATGGATGCGGGAAAGAGACGGGTGTGGACCACAGACGCAGACCTTCCTCGGAGCGCCCTCGTGTGGACAACGTGGAGATGACAGCTCTGCTTTGGGTTTTATTTGTAGGAGAGGCTTATCTGGTTAGGAATTTATGGTTTACAAATACTACTAAGATGTTTTGTTCTTAAAGACTCATGTGTATCCGTTTGGTCCAAAATAAAATACTTGATTTTTATAGATTTTTTTTCTACAATTGATCCACAAACAGTACAATATTTTAATAGTATAAAAACAATTACACATGATTATTGATGGGAATTAGAATAACAAATGAGTTCTGTTGCCAATGCGATTAAGTGATTTAAGACAATTAAAGCTATTTTACACTGCAACCAACAACAGGTGTCGAACCGGGACAACAGTGGGAAAGGTTGGCGTGTTGTCTGAACCAGCAATGGCTTTTCATCAGAGGGAAGGCAGGGACGTGTCAAAACAAAAACAAACAAAACAAACTTTGGACTTTCAACATAAATGACTCCCAGGACCAGAGGGAAGTCTATCATCCACATGGAGCATTTTGGAAAATATTATTTTTACGAGGACAACGTCAGCCCTAACTTTGACGACTAGATGGCTGCCATTATGAAAAGCATTTTCCCTCTTGTGACTTGTGTGTAGTTTTAACAACCTTATAGATAGATGCTAAATATTTGCTTTGCCGAAGCTCCTGATGTACACATGGAAGATGTGTCTGAATGTCTTGTTGTTTTTGTTTAATTTATAATCTCTCTCTTGCTGTTGACTTGGCCAGCATTTTCCAAATTGAAATGTCCACTGAGACACATAACTTTGTTTGATTAATGGATTTAATTGGTGAAAAAAAATATTTTTTTGGAGGGAAAAAGCCAAGTTTGCATATAAACAGGAAATTAAAAGGAGGAGGATTATCAATAGGCCTGAATAAGCACAAGTGTGGCAAGTTACTTCACCAGAGAGACTGTATATCATTATTTGTGTGACTGTCTGACTGGTTTACTGACTTTAAGGTATTTTCATTCCATTATTGCTAAAGTAAACTGCTTTATAGCCCCATTATGAGCACTTATGAAATCTACTTCAGCTCAGAAATGTACAAACATGTTTGTTGCCTTTGAAACACTATAATCTCAGCTTGGTTTAAAAGGAAAAATGAAAAAATCCAATGACATATCCAACAATTATCTCACATTTTAAGATTCCTCTGCGTTTGCCAAACTCGCGCATTTCAGGTATAATTGCACGATAACTTGAAGACAAACATTTTTACAGCGTCTTGACAGCTCTGAGTCCCATAAAGCCGTTTGGATGTTTTAGGAGATGAGGAGATTGCAGTGGATTGTGTCTGGTGTTTGTGAGTGGCCACAGCTCTGCACTTTCTAACCCTCAATTTCCTCCCGGGGACAGATTTACCCTGTCCCACCGCAACAGGGCGTAATCGGGTTATTCCGGCTCGTGTCCTGGCAGCTCTGTCCCCATCGGTCAGACTGCGGAGGCTTTGGCTGTGAGGGCCGCTGGGGTTTACACGTGTGGGTGGAGGCTGGTGCACAAGTATCAAAGTATCAAACTGTTGTTGTGTTCTTAGGCAAGACACTTCACCCATGTTGCCTAGAATGACTGGTGTGTTTGAGACCTCGCTTCTGTCAGTGTGCCCCAGGGCAGCTGTGGCTACAGAAGTTTATCAACACTGTGTATAGAGTGAATCAATAATGGCATGTGAAGCGTCTTTGGGTGTCCAAAAAGCGCTATATGAAACCAATGCATTATTATTATTATCTCTGGGTGCTCCTGTTACCCCAACCACAAATAATAATAGCTGTCCACCCCCGCGAACTCCCCTGAAAAGAGATGTTGCGACCTCAGCAGATCTTCCCTGGTTGAATAAAGGCCAATGAGGAGGTAGTTCCACTGACACAGTCCACACAGTCCTTAGTCCTCTCCCCATGGTCCTCACACTCTGTCATCATCGTCATCGGATCAGATAAAACATTTTTTTCATTAATATGTTGGGGTCTTTAACGCAGCTGAACGGATGAGAAAGGAAACAAATTGTAACATGTTTCAAATTGTGTTTTTCCATCCCATTTTAAGACAATTACACAAACATTTAAACATGAAATCTAACTGACACTGCTGTCCATCTTTATCCCAACCCTCTGTGAGTCCTGAACAAAATGGGTGCCCAGTAATTACACATTTCCCATTCCGTGTTCAACAAATATAACCTGGACGTTCCGGAAGTGGAATCTCATGTGTGTATGTATAAATGTGTGTGCATGTGTGTGTGTGTGTGTGTGCGTGTGTGTATGTGTGCTTGTGTCCGTCCCTCTCCACTGCCCTGCATTGACCACAGTGTGTGTAAATACGCTGTCCTCTGCAGGGCCCTCCCTGGTGGTTTCCTCTCGTGCTGGCCTGTCCCTGGGGCCCCTCACCTCAGCTGCTCCTCCCTGCCCGGGGCCAGGACACATCAAACCAATGGCAGCCCACACAGCACTATTTCTGGAGCTTCCATACGCAGATGACGGCTTTGTGAACTGCTGAGCACACAAGCAAGGTGGACATGAAGCCTTTGGTCTCAAAGTGAATCAAAGAAAGCAGGTTAGAGCCGGAGGACCTAACTTTGTCTTGTTTCATAATTACATGCTGTTTGTCTCAACAGAAGAAGAGACTTTGAGTAACATTGTGAACAAACCAGATCACAACATGCTGTCTTCATCCTTTTTGAAAACATGTTATCGTTTACATACTGAGAGCTGATTGGCTTTCTCTGAAAAATCTTATCTAAGTGAGAGAGAAAGAAAAGATGCATGTGACAGTTAGTGATCGACACAACCAGATTTGAGAGCATATCTGACTGCCACCCCTACGACAGAGATGGATTAAGGGGAAGAAAATGGATGGACCATACACCGCCACACCAAGCTGATGACGGACATTTTGGTATTTTGACATTTATTCTCTGAACTGCTAAACTACTTTCATCCTGGGCTGGGCCAGATGTCAGCGTCTCTAATGTGCTTCTTATTTTAAGAATCTGTGATGGTTTTAAAGATCTCAATGAACTGGACAGCTGTCAGGATACTTGTGTTTGCAGATCTGCTGACCAGGATATTGCTGTTACAGATAGATTCAAGTTTTAGATAGATACACAATACTCTGATACTTTGACAATAAGGTGGATCATGGTTAATATTGGACCATCAATGGACAGTTAATTGAGCAGCTTCCATCGTACACTGGAGGTGGAAATTGACAACGAACTGTGCTGTGAGAAGATAAAGTGCCAAACTCCTCCAGCACTTATTCTTTCAAAAGCCAAAGCCATTGTGCCAAAAGCTAAAGTGTTAAGTTGACGTTTTACAGGGCAAGCATTAAGTCGTGGTATGGAATAATGAGCTGGTTTGGTGATCTAATTGTGAATGGTGGCCTGTGAAAGGAAGCTCCAAACAGACCCCTGAAGCCAAGTAGGGCAGGGCCTGGTTAGTACTGTGATGGAAGACCTCTGCAAACACTTAGTGCCACAGTGAGGGGACCGTGGCACTAAGTTATGGCTCTGAGTTACGGCTGACTCAGAGCCATAACAAATGGGGAGGCGAAACGGGGGTAAAAAGTGCAAAAAGTATATTTAATAATAACAAGAGTATAACATGGACAAAAACCAAGGTATGGGATGTGAGCATGTTGTAATCAGTGTGTGGTGCAGGTGTTTGAGTGCAATGAAAGCCTGTGTGTGGTGTGCAGTGAATGTGGTGCATAAACCAAAAGACAAACTCAAATGTGCAACAAAGGAATGGACATGGTGGCTCAAGAAGAGCCCACCAAGACAGGACCCAGCTGAGCAGCAGCACCGGAGAACAGGAGGACAGGAGGCGAGGAGGAGAGTGAGCAGCTCTCAGCTCCCAGGTGAAAAAACCCATTGATGATGGGCGTGGCATGGTGCAGGTGTGGACCTGCACAGAGGAGGAGACAGCAGAGAAGGCAGGCAAACCCCAGACAGCTCCCTCTCCTGGACAGTAAGGGCCTGGCCCGTAACACCCCCCCCCCCCCCCCCCCTACAAGAAAGGGACCCAACTAGGCCCTTCATAAGACCCAAACAATAAAAAAAAAATCCTCTGAGCAGCTCAAAGGACATTCCATCCAGCAACTAGGCATCTCAAACGGTTGGAAGAAACTCAGTGAAAGTGGCGTCAAGCAATGTACCTCCAAAATAGAGTAGGCCCCGGGACTTGGGGTCTCCACCGTGCCGTCCCAGTGTCGCTTGCACGGTGGGCTGAAGCATCCATGCTTCCACCAGAACGGACCTGGCACCAGCTTCCAGACCAGTCCCCATAGTCTCCAGACGCGTCATCCGAGCTTGGCCCCAGAAAACATTGTGAAGCCCTGCTAGCGTGAGAGGGAACAGCAAAACCACAACATACTGTACTCCCCTCTCCAGCACCTTCCGTTCTCCCGGATGCCACAAGCGTTGCGATTTAGCGTCAAAGCCAGCACTCTCAATAGGACAAGTCACCCATACCTCAGAGCCCAGCATCTCTAGACTAGCGAGTGAAAAAGGAACCGAAGAAATAGACCAGCTCTGGCCACAAGTGATCCTGACCCCACGATGGCTGCTCTGGTCATGACAGAACTGTAACACAGCATCACAACACTTTAAAGAACCCACCACCGGGTGTACAGTGTCACGCACTAATCCCTCCAACGCACCGGACTTCTGCGCCACCACCAGGACGTTGTGTGCCACAGAACAGGGAAGAACTAGCTCAGGAAACATCTCAGTTTCATCAGGTTTATTACATACCACCGGAGCCTCGGTCATCTGGACTGGAGGAGGCACATCAGCCCCGACCTGGCTACCTGTAATATAAACTTGTCTCCCACAACAAAAACGCTGCAGTCCGCGAGCCTCCGGAACAAGTTCATCCTCTGCATGTTCAAGTATAGGACTACTCTGCATTTCCTGTCTCTCCAAAATAAGTTTTTGCTGTTCAATGTCATGCTTAACCATCTCAACCTCCAGCCTCATCATTGCACGTTCTTTCTCTGCCTCTACTTGGACTAACAGTAGCTCTTTCTGCTGCTCAAAAGTTAAACCCACAGGTGAAACCAAAATGCCCATTCCAAATAATTGTTTCTTCAAATTGTCCTCAAGAACACTCAAGACAGTTGAATTCCCAATAAAAACTTTGTAAAACTCTGCAATCGCAATTAAATGCCTTTTAGTGCAGAGCTTCAGATCACTCTCACATGGTTCCTCCAGAAATTCCTCAACCACATCATCCATGATCACAAAAAAGACCCCACAGAAGCTTAAGTGATAAACCACCAATGTGCCCTATAAAGTCAAGGATACCCCGCTAACTACCTACCCAAAAGCTTACTACCTCAAACCCTAGTCTTCGGGAAGCGTGGCGATGGGTTTTTATGCGGCAGATACCGATGGTACACAAGACGCCCAAGTTGGCAATCAAGTGACCACGGCGCGCTCCCGAGCCGATGTAGGGAAAAGGGGAAATGGAAGCTACGACCCGCTCTTAAAGCTGCACTAATTGACTTTGGGATTTTGAAGCCGCGGACTCGCTGGCCTCGCTCTTTCTGCTCCCCTCCCCACACCCACGAAGCTATCGCCCCCCACACACACACAGTGTTGAGACGGAGCTAGCCTCTCCCAATATGGATAATACATGGATATGGATTTTCACGTGGATGGCGTGACCATAGAACGATAGAACCGGGAAGCGCGGAGGAACGAGACTTTCTTTTGGATGGCTGTGATTGCTGTGTAAGCAGTAACCTGTGGCGAAGACGAGAAAGTTTCAGGTTAGCTCCGCCGCTTGTTGTGCTAACTCAGCTGTCTGTGCTAACGGACCTGGAGATTTCTCACGAAAGTGGGGGCTAGTGGTGCGCTGTGATTGGTCACAATCTGCGACCCGAAACACATTCTCTTCCTTGTTTCATCAAAACTCGATCGAAAATATAATGTCACGCCAGCACAAATCTGCGCTAATTATTCTTCAAAAGGACGTATATCCCAATGCACTACATGGACATGGATAGCATTTTCGTAATTAATACGAAAATAAAGTCAGTTAGTGCAGCTTTAACTTCCACACTAAAGCCCCCCCCAAAAAAAAATGCAGTGAACCCACTGTTGGGAAACACCGCTAAGCCTACCCGGGATTCCTCAACTTTAACCTGTAACACACATTACAATTTATCCACTTACCTTCTGGGTCTTTACAAGCAGCCACGGCTGACCAAACTAGGATGAAGTTTTTGACCTGCTCTCCAACAGCACAAAATCCTGAAGACCAAAAAATACCTCCCGCACGTCTCCCACAAAGCGCACTAACAAAATGACGTCACAGGGAAAACCCCCACTGAGCCCGTCACACCAAACTCCAGGTACAGCTCAATTCAAAATGGCACTTAACCAACAAACAAACAAGAGCTGACACAAGACTAAACAAAAGCGCTCTCAAACAAAACCAGTTTACCAAACAATATCACAGATAACATAAAATGATATTTACCTCAAACAAATGCGGGTTTTTAGGACGGAGCCCCCAACTTGTTACGGCCGACTCAGAGCCATAACAAATGGGGAGGCGAAACGGGGGTAAAAAGTGCAAAAAGTATATTTAATTAAAGCCGCAAGCGGCGTCGAACGGCCCTCGCCGCACCGCGCGACTCCCCACACCGCGCACACCCCCCGCACCAAGCCACCCCGCACCACGCCACCCTGCACCACGCCGTCCCGCATCACGCCGCCCCGCACCAAGCCGCAACGCGCCGCTCCACAACGCCCCGCACTACGCCCCGCACTACGCCGCACCACACCGTACCACGCAGCACCGCTCAAAGGAGGTGGCGCCGCCGTGTGGTGATTTGTTCCCATAGCCATAGAAGATTGTTAGTCAAATTGTAATGAATATGATAAGTAGAGCTGGTTTGGCTCCCCATGTAAACTTTGACTCAGTCTGCAGGGGGCGCTAATGGGCCAATTTCAAATATTTCACTTTCACCTGACCTAAACCCTGGAGTTGAACAATGGATTGAAGTTTAATGCAAATCAGACTTTGTTTGTGCAAACGGGAAAAAAATTAATGTTGTCAGAAACGGCCAAAAAACCCTCACATTTTTCCGCTCCGCTGCTCAAACAACGTTTCACTGATCAAAATTCCCTGAAGTCATTTTGAAGGTAAATGTGTTGAGATGATTTGGAACAATTTTGAGGCCAATCGGTGAAACGGCCGAGGAGGAGTCGCTTTCCAATCGACGTGTATGAAAATGATTGGTTTTCATTTTTCCATTTTGCAATGAAATTTATGGGCATCCTGTTTGTCAGAGGGCTTAGCCATAATAAAAAAATGTCCATGTCTTGACTTGAGGAACATGTGTACCAAATTACATGGCTCTACGACAACTTTGACCTCAAACCCCTCCCATAGGCATTTATAAATTGGCTGTTGTAGGTGGCGCTATAGAGCCAATTTCAAAATTTTTACTTTCAAATGACCTAGACCCAAGAGTTGAACCATGGA